CTCGCAGACGAAGACGATTGTTTAAAATACCGCGCCGAGCGCCATTTCACCTCTAACATCCCATAATCAAGCCACGCCTTCGCCGGAAACAACAAACGACGTCACGCCACAACTTCCGTGCAGTATCGTACGCAGAAAGATGATTGATTATTTATATAGAATAAGAACTGTTTTGTTTGTTTTGTCATCATATCAAGCTAATTCCTATGTTCATTTTGATTCTGAATCAGAACTCATGTTTACTGGGCAAGTAAATTACTCAAAAAAGCAATCAGTTATTATGTATGACATGGCATCACTTATAAATATACAGTAAACAATAAACGTTTAAGGACGAAGAGTGCAATAGAAATATTGATGCAGCCATTTGGATCATATTTTAAAAAGAATGCCAAAGACAAATGATCAGAAAGTGACTCACCTATATTCGCCTTACATATAAAAATTTATTCGATTTAATTTATATAAAATATTATTATATTACATTAGTTACATTATTGTATATAAAATATAGTAGCACATGTTACAGTAAAATATAGGCTTTTTATTAATAGGATCTTTTATAAACACACTTCATCTATATCTCTAATATTATTAATATGATATGATATGATATGATATTATATGATATTATATTATATTATATTAACTACATGAGTGTATATTAAAATATAGTAGCATGTGTTGGTGAAGTAAAAATTCTGATTGTTTATTTTTAGGATCTTTATACATTTCGTTTAGTTCTTTCTATTATACTATATTATATTACTAAAGCAACTTTACAGAAAAATTAATTGCGATTAATCGTTTAACAGCACTAATTATATTATATTATATTACATTATATTATATGATATGATATGATATGATATTATATGAATCATATCATATCACATCACATCACATCACATTACATTACATATTATATTATATTATATTATATTATATTATATTATATTACATTACATTACATTATATATTATATTATATTACATTACATTACATTACATTAATTATATTACATTACATTACATTAATTACATTACATATTATATTATATTACATTACATTACATTACATATTATATTACATTACATTACATATTACATTACATTACATTACATATTATATTACATTACATTACATTACATTAATTATATTATATTATATTACATTATATTACATTACATTACATTACATTACATATTACATTACATTACATATTACATTACATTACATTACATATTATATTATATTATATTACATTACATTACATCATATTACATTACATTATATATTATATTATATTATATTATATATTACATTATATATTACATTACATTACATTACATTACATTATATTATATTATATATATTATATTATATTATATTAAAAAATCAGGCTGTTTACTTTTAGGATCTTTCATGAATACACTTCATCTAGCTCAAATATTCTATTCTATTCTATTCTATTCTATTCTATTCTATTAGCCCATGATGTTGCAGGAAAAATGCAGGCTGTTTATTTATAGGAGCTTTTACAAATTCACTCCATTTAACTCTATAGCCACAGGAAACATTAGGTCAATGCATAGATGCACAGGTGTCTGCTACACTGTCCTTTCTCTGCAGACACTCTGCACTTTAGCACTGGGCTTTGTGTTTGATACTATGTAGTTGTGAAATAGATTAGACTATATGGTTTATAACAGATCATTTAGAAACTGTCTCAGCCAGGGCTGTGTTTCCCAAAAGCATCGTAAGCTTAAGTACATCGTACACCCATTGAAACCAATGGAGCTACGATTAACTTAAGCTTTACGATGCTTTCTCATTTCTGGAAAAAGATGGCAGAAGGGAGAATGGCGTAGGGAGATACTTCGGATGGCGACAGTGATCAAGACATGGATTATCAGGAAGTAGGATACAATAAAAGGTAAAAAGAGCAGCATGGGTGATGGATCTGATTGTGAGCAAACAATTAAGTAAGACATACGAGAAGTGAAGCTGATAAAGAGGTGGAAGAAAGAGAAATCAAAGTCATAATTACTTTTGCTAAGCTGTAGTTTGTGAGATTCAGAATGCAGTTCGAAAGCAAAACTTTATTCAGTGTGCAAGATGGGGATTTAAGCAGGCAAAATGGAAGGAATTTTATGTGTTGTGTGAAGAACATTTCAAAAATATGAAGTTGGAAGGGAATATTGAGGAGATATATAGTAGGTGAAATCATTTCTGCAGCAAACCAATCTAAACCGTTAATAAGAGGTAATGGAAAGAAAAAGAAAAGTGTACCGTGGTGGTCTGAAGAGTGCACAGTGGCAATTAGAGAGAGGAATAAGGCATTCCGGATTTTAAAAAAGATTAATAACTCAAGATACAGTTGTAGAATATCAGAAGTAAAGGGCAGCTGCAAGAAGGGTAATTAAAAGTGCAAAGAGAAAGGCTTGGCAGGAATTCTGTAACACAATTGGGAGAGAGACTGGAATGCCATGTGGTATGGAGAATGATTAGGAAAATGAATGGTATTAATAATTATAAACAGATCCCTGTAATTGAAGAGGAAGGAAAAATGGCGAATTCGAAATGACGAATAAAGAAAAGACAGAAGTCTTAGCTAAAACTTTTGCTAAAGTTCATATTTGAGTTAAAAATAGCCATTAACAATTAAAAGAAAACAACGCCAGGGAGAGACATGATCAGTTACAGTATGTTAAAAAAAAATGTACCAGACGTAGCCATTAAAGCATTATTGGATTTATATAATCATATATGGAATGAAGGCACCTTACCCAAAGATTGAAAGAAATATTATCATCAGCTCAGAGTGGTTTTAGGAAGAAAAGATCTACAATGGATGCTCTGATATTATTTGAAAATGATGTTAAAAAAAACTCCTTGTTGCTGTTTTCTTTTACATTGAAAAGGCATATGACACTTTATTGAGGGAGGGACTGTTAATTAAAGCTACTGTCCGTAAATTTTGCCTCTTTGTCGCCATCTCTGTTTGAAAACCTGGAATTGCAGCTGTGTGCGGAATTATCTATTTGCGTGGGTTGTGCTCCAGCGCGGATGAATCTAATGTTCTGAAGAGTATGTGTGGCAGTCAGTCACCGCACATTAAAGCTACTGTCCGTAAATTTTGCCTCTTTGTCGCCATCTCTGTTTGAAAACCTGGAATCGCAGCTGTGTGCGGGATTATCTAGTTTGCCTGGGTTGTGCGCCGGTGTAGTGCCGAATTCTGCACCCCTGCCAGATTATGCACCCCCTCGTTGAAGTCGCTTCCTGATTGCCTAATCCCAGGGTGCATAATCTGGCAGGGTGCAAATTTCGGCACTACACCGGCTCGGCTCCAGCGCTGATGAATCTAATGTTTTGAAGAGTATGTGTGGCAGTCAGTCACGCACCGGTGTGGATATTCACTGTACTTCGCAATCACAGATTCTAGCCTACAACCCTCAGCAAAGCTTGAGTTCTATGATCAATTAAAACACCTCCTTCATAGTTTGGATTTTAACAAAGAGGTTATATTGATGGGGGACTTTAATATAAATTGGAGTGATAAGGGTGGAAGAAAAAAGCTTAAAAATATTACAGATTTTTTTAATCTTACACAGTTAATTGAACAACCTACAAGAATAACTAATCAGTCTGAAACTAAAATAGATTTATTATTTACAAATAGACTGGAAAGAATTACTAAGACCTATAATCTAGTGACAGGGCTGTCAGATCACAATATCATTCTTTTTTCCAGGAAGCTAAAAATACATCGTTTTCATTCCTCAGCCACACCAATATGTAAATATGAATCGGTCTAAATTTAAAAAAGCTCTAATAATGAAAGAATTTCTTGTTGGTTTTCTTTGACATTGAAAAGGCATATGACACTTTATGGAGGGAGGGACTGTTAATTAAGTTGAATCAAATCGGAATGGGGGGAGAATGTATAATTGGATATTAGATTTTTTGTTTGAGCGTACATTCCAGGTAAGAATAGGTGAAGAAATGTCAGCATCGTGTGATATCCTGAATGGGACTCCACAAGGAAGTGTAATCAGCCCAATTTTATTTCGTTTAATGATTAATGATATATTTGAAAGAGTTAAACTAAGCATTGGGAAGGCGTTATATGCAGATGATGGGGGAGATGCCATTAGATTTAAGAAGAGAAAAGCTTGCGATGATGCATTGGGTTAATCTACAGGGTAGTAATAGGAATCATCGTACACGCACAATTTTAAATGATTGTTGGGAATATAAAAAGAATGGAGGATGTTTTGGATGGAAATATGAACAGTGGGTCAAGGATTGTGGTCTGGAGAATGAAGTATAATCTGTCCCAACATGCCATTAAATGGGGTAGCGGTATGAATATCCCTGGACCTATTGTTGAAATGAGATTGTTGGAGGCCCGGGAAAAAGCAGAAGAAAGATATACTAATAGTTATGAAATCAATGTTTTTATGAGAGAAATTTTATTCTTCTATACAGATTTACAGATGGATCCAATCAAACAAAAAGTGGGCATAGGAGTGTACATTCCAAGATTTAAGACGAAAATAAGTTTAAGGTTAAGTGACAAATTGTCCGTATATTCTACAGAATTAACTGCTATAATAGTAGGATTGCAGTGGGTAGAACAGATTAAGCCAAATAGGACTCCGACTGTAATTTGCTCAGATTCTTCATCAGCTCTTAAAAGTATATTGTCGACAAAAACTGATAGAGAAGACCTGCTAGTAGAAATGTATACATTACTGTACAGACTGAACATAGAGGGTATAATCGTATACTTTTGTTGGGTACCGACACATATCGGGATAGTAGGGAATGAAACAGTGGATAAATTAGCAAAAGAAGCTTTAAAGAAAAACTTGGTGGATGTTAAGGTACCTCTGGGAAGAAATGAGATAAAATCAGTGATTAACAGGAAAATAATAAGAATATGGCAACAAAGATGGGAAAATAACAGCACAGGTAAGTGGTATTATAGTATTGTGAAATCAGTAGGGAAAAAAGAACAGTTTTATGGAAGGCACAGCAAGGAAGAAGTAATGATTTCTAGATTAAGGATGGGACACACAGGACTAAATTCAACACTTGCATTAATGGGGAAGCATGAAAATGGTATGTGTGATGAATGTGATGTTTTTGAAACAGTAGAGCATGTGCTTTTTAAATGTAGTAAATATGATGTTCAGCGACATAATCTTTTTAGCAACATAAGGAACAGGCCAGTGAGTGTCGTGGACCTTCTGGGAAAGTGTTTGAGTGATAATCAGATATTTTAAGGTGGTTTTAACAGTTTTAGAGCTTACAGGACTAGACCACAGGATTTAGTGTTTGAGGATGAGGATCATGATGCTTCTGCCCATCTCGGAGGTTGAGGAGCACAGTGTGGAAGCTGGAGGAGATGAACATGCATCCTCTGGGGTGGGTGGGGCATTACAATTTTTTTTATTTTTTTTTGTTGATAGCAATAGGCCTATTTCACAATATGGCGACCGAGATCGGAAGTAGGGTAGCGGTACTTCCGGTCGCGCACCACTACGATCGCCATTCATAATCATAATGGACTGCGAACAACTTGTTTTCTCCCAGTCGATAAATTATCTGCCAAAAGTCAGAATAGCAGATGTTGTCCGTTTTGTTGACAATTTGCAGGGAGATGTGAAAAGATCCAAATTGCACAAAGGCTACAAATTCTTTTTTGAGCAATTTATTTTTGATTATCAGGGTATGTATAATGAGCCAGTTGCCATGACACTGCTTTTTTTGAACTGATTACTTTTATGGTTTTATGGATGATTTTCAAAGCGGTTAAATAAAAACTCATTTATTGTTAACTGTGTGGGTTTGAACACTTCAGTCTCAAATATTATTGCAGGGAAAGTGGTAATTATAGGGTCAGATGTTATATAGGTCGTTAAGAAAGCATGAGGGACCACATCAGCTCGAGGTAACTTAAATACATACAGGATTTAGTTCATGTTGAATAGTACCTTTTTGATGATAAAATGGTTTTCAACGTAGCCTATTAGTTATCTCACAGTCCATAGCAACAGTAACTGAATAATTTAGTAAGGAAGCACCTTCGGCAGTTAGGATTAAAACAAAAGAGAATGGGATTCAACATGCTTTTCTGTGCTTAATGACATTATTTATGTAGTAATGGTCATTTTAACCTCTGAGCAGTGTTCAGGGTATTTCAGGACCTCAAATGACATTTGCTTAAATAAAAAAAATTTAAAAAAATTAAAAGAAAGTGTTCCCTTCATCTAAATGACATGACACTTGATGACTTTTTTTACACTTGCTACACACACAAAAAAAAAAAAAAGAAATTGGAATGTCTGATTGTACATTAGTGTAATAAAGTCACTCAGGATGTTCATCTAGTCAGTGTCTTTAGTTTAAGTTCCACGTTATTTTAATTTTAAAGGTGTTTTCCAGTAGATGACAGTAATCTTTCACTAAACTATGCAAGACATTTTTCATATCGCCATGAATGAAACCAAAAAATTTAGATATTCTTTAAAGTCAACTCTACATATTTATTTTGTATAAACATTTATTTCATATAAACATGTAATACTTTTTTTTTTTTTAAATTGAGGCAAAAAAAGTTTCAACAAAAATACCATACCAACTGTATAGTAAAAACATTAAAGCGAGTGATATTACAATTCATGATTGTTATAAAATCATATTTTACTAAACAGCCACAGTGTACACTCTGAACAGCTCACAATGCTACTTTGGCACATACATTGATGTTTTGCTAGGAAGAAAATAGGCAAGAAAAAGTGACCAACAAATGATGTTCCTATTATTCACTGTTCTATAGTGAATACAGTTCTACAGTGTTATATATGTTTACAAGAAAAAGCAGTTACTTTCTAATTAAAGGGATATTTCACCCACAAAGGAAATGTTGTCATTTACTCACACACAAGTTGTTTCAAACATGTACAAATTTCTTCTGTTGATATTTTAAAGAATGCGTGTAACCAAACAGTTGCTTGTTTCCATTCACGTCCATAGTATTTTTCTTCACGCTGTGGAAGTGAATGGGGACGAGCAATTGTTTGGTTACACACATTCTTCAAAACATCTTTTTACGTCCAACAGAACAAATTCGAAACAACTTGAGGGTGAGTAAATTACAAATTTCGTTTTTGGGTGAACTACCCCTATAAGTCATGCTTCAATTAATTACATTAAAAGTAAACAATGTTCACTGCAGACTGCGGGATTTTTTTATAACTTGTAACCATTTGATTTAGATTAAGCTTTATGATAGGTCTTACTCAGATCTTTATTTCCAAATATTGAAAATATATTGTTGTAACATACCTATCCTAAACTGGAAAGATGACATGTCCGGAGGGGTTGATGTGTTCAGAATCTGAGAGGATACTGCAGATCATAAGTAAAGAGTTAGATTTTTATTAAAATTGTATGTTTTTATTTATTTATTGTATTAGTTAACGCTACACTCACCCGGGGCTGGACGGCTGTTGTAATCATGCTCCTCCTGCACCAGCACTCTCCATTTCGACATCCAACGTTACTGCTTTCTCTGCACCACGAACACCTCTTTTTGATGTCCGAGTCTAGCGTGATTGAACTTCTCCCCAACTGTTCCACGCAAACCTGGAAGGCACAGCCTTACGACCGGACTCTGGATGGACACGGACCTCATCCTCCGTGAAGTGCTTAACAGTTAGCACAAAAGTGCTACCTTTCCTCACAGTAAATGCCGCCCCATCTTTTCTCCGTATGGCCAAAATCCAACGCTTTCTTAAGTTTTCGTCGATGGGAAAACTATGAAATGATAAGTGAGGTTGCTTTTTCTTTGAATTAGAACACAAAGGTACACTACACGACTGACTACTTTTGGACTCCGCCATTGTTCGGCTAGCGCTTTCACCGGAAAATATTTTCCCTACTTCCGGTTTGCTTACGTCACGTTGTGAAATAGGCATATACAGATTCATCACCCATGTGCGCAAGATACACAGTAGGTGGCGGTAATACTCCGAGTGAACGGCCATTGAACAAAACGAAGAAGAAGGAGATTGGAATAGATGGAGTGGCGCGCTCTAGCGGCTCGCGCCGTTGTTGTTGTTGTGAGCGCAGAGGAAAATGGCGTGCGGCGTGAGGCAGGAGCTCGCGCAGCTGATGAACTCTAGCGGGTCTCACAAAGATCTAGCTGGGAAGTATGTCATTTCAAGTCATTTACTCGAATTGTTACTTACTGTCTGTCTGTTGCATGAATTAATTATTGCGTCGTTTTTTTTGTATGGAAGATGTGATGCTGCAGATGAGATGAGTACAGGCTAACCTTACTTAGCTAGCGTGAGGATATGCAGAGCAGATGAAATAACGTTATCTGTCAACATGCATAGGCCTAGATTTGTATTTTTATAACGATCGAATTATGTTATAGTACGAAATCGCTATTATTAATGGTTAGTAGTTATTAGAATCATTAATAAATATTCGTATGATAATGCATTTATGGCTTTAATGGTACGTTTCGCAAGGGCTGGAGTAATGACAAGAAGTTAGCTTAAATAGCACTTATTTACGGAATTAAAGACGCAATGAAATTAAAAATTGAGACTTTTAGTTAATGTCTGTTTGCTTTGAGGTAATGTATATGCTAGTGTGCACCTAAAGGTGGAAAAATTGATCTTTCATCAGACATACACAACATTTCACACTCTTTCTTTTCTGGTTAAAAAGACCAAATATATTGATGACTCATCTTGCATTTAGGGGCGTATTTAAAGTTTTGTCCAATCAAATGTTCTAGAGTTAACATGCCCTGCCCCCAACAGCACTTGCTTCTTTTTTTGCAAACAATTCTAATAATTCTTAGTCTAATGAATGTGTTTTTGTGCACTGTTTTGACAGATATCGTCAAATATTAGAAAAGGCTCTTCAGTTTACTGATGCAGAACAACTTGAGGCACTGAAAGCATTTGTTGAAGCGAGTAAGTACACTAATATTCAATATGCTAGTCTGCCGATATTAATAGAATCAACTTAATATGAGAACGTACACATTCCTCTCTTTACATCATCTAAATTGACGAGCTTCGCTATTTCTCACACTTGCGCAGTGGTCAATGAGAACGTCAGCCTGGTCATATCCAGACAGCTGTTGACAGACTTTTGCACGCACCTTCAAAACCTGCCAGACGGCACTGCGAAAGCCGTGTGCCACTTCACCCTGGAGAAGATCCAGCCCAGAGTCATCTCATTTGAAGAACAGGTATGTGTCGTGAAAAATACTCTCAGATCAATGCTGGAATCATGTGGATCATGTATGAGCCAATCTCATACACTTCCAGGTGGCTTCGATCAGACAGCATCTAGCCACACTCTATGAGAAAGAGGAGGACTGGAGGAACGCAGCACTGGTTCTTGTGGGAATCCCGCTGGAGACGGGTCAAAAGTAAGATCGCTTTTCTCTTGGAACAAACTGAAGCTTCTCATTTGCATCTGCATATCACTCAAAGCCACTAATGATTAGTTTATGTTGTTCATGTCTGTTTTTCTGATTCAACAGACAGTACAATGTGGATTATAAATTGGACACTTACCTCAAAATTGCACGTCTGTATTTGGAGGACGATGACCCAGTTCAGGCTGAGGCCTACATCAACCGAGCATCTTTACTTCAGAATGAATCCACCAATGAACAGCTGCAGATTCACTACAAGGTGCACCATCAGTTGAACTATATACTGTATAAAATGCACAGTATCCAATAGGGCTGAGCGGTATTTCAAATAGATTTGTGACGATTTTAGTGGAGTTTTGAAGAATCAGTAGAATTTAATTGGAAAATTGCTTTATTTACCCAAAAAGCTTACTAATAAGCATTTATTAACTATCTTGTAAGCTGTTAATTAATAAACATTTATTAATAAATAGCTTACAATACAGTTCTTATATTTTTATAATATTCATTAATTTAAATGTTATTTAAAAACACACACACATATATAAAATTTTAAAATTGATATATAGATATGATTTTATATTTAGAAAAACAGTTTGCAGATGTTTTATATATGTAAACAACAAATAAATTAATATAAATAATATTATAACAATTGAAATATAAATGTATTAATATATTAATAATATAATTATTTTTTTAAATTACACAAATTAAAATATATAATAAAATTACATATACAATTTATATATTTCTATGACTGGTGGTTCAAAAAAAACAAACAAACATAAAAACAAATGTTTTTGTGGCCCAACCATTCCAATACAAAAAGTAATTGAATCCAAATACTCAGGTCTGTTAGATTACTAACTGACAGTGTGTGATTTTGTAATGTCTGGCTGCTTTATGATTATTGTGAACTGTAATATATTCCATCATGTTTTGCAGGTATGTTACTCCAGAGTTCTGGACTATCGGAGGAAGTTCATTGAAGCAGCTCAGCGCTACAATGAGCTTTCTTACAAATCCATCGTCCATGAGACTGAGCGTCTGGAGGCCCTGAAGCATGCGCTTCACTGCACTATACTGGCCTCTGCAGGTACTCTTCATCTATTACATCATTAAGATTAAACGGCTGGAACTGTGGTTAAACCGTTTCAGCTTCATTTGAAGCTGGTCACATTATATAATCAGTTCTCAATGTGTCCAAAAGGTCAGCAGCGCTCTCGTATGTTGGCTACGCTCTTCAAGGATGAACGCTGTCAGCAACTCGCCGCTTACGGCATCCTGGAAAAAATGTACCTGGATCGAATCATTCGGGGAAACCAGCTGCAAGAGTTTGCTGCCATGCTGATGCCGCATCAGAAAGCCACCACAGCCGATGGTATTACATGTTATGCTTTAGTACTGTCATTTATTCATGTTCTTTGCTAAGCTAATGACTAATACTTGTCTAATGCTTTCAGGTTCAAGCATCCTAGACCGAGCAGTCATTGAGCACAACCTGCTGTCTGCTAGCAAACTCTACAATAACATCACGTTTGAAGAGCTAGGAGCTCTTCTGGAGATTCCTCCTGCAAAGGTACAGCTGTGCTTGACTGACTGAGTGTCAGGAAAGGTCTATTGTAAATTAATGTTTTTGAAATAAGTCTTTTATGCTCTCCAAGGCTGCATTTATTTGATCAAAAATACAAGAAAAACCGTAATATTGTGAAATATTATTAAAATTTAAAGCTGCAGTCTATAACTTTTTTTGGTTAAAAACGATCCGAAATCAATATTTGAGGAAGTACATAACCAGCCAGTGTTCAGAACGATCTCTTACGTTAGCCCGATCCACAACGGTAAGCTTATAATAATGTTTTCTAATTTGAGTGGTACTGGTAGGTTTTCGCGGGAAATTCGAGCATGCCGCTGTGTCATTACATCACGTCTGTAAACATAAAGAAGGCATCCCAGCTAGTGGCATATATCGCATGTGATGATGCTGCAAGTGGCGGATCGTTTATATTATAGTAAGTGACTGAAATTAGATTATATTCCAGTTTTAAATGTGCATCTGATTACAGTTAGCCTACGTGGGATTACACAAGTTTTGTATTTCAAAGAGAACCAGTTCTAAAAAAGAATAATTTGCTTTTTGGGTTAAAAGAATTTCTTTGTATGAAATTCGAATGGGATTAGACTGTACAGAAATTGAAATCTATATGTAACGCTAATACACACTACATACATGTAGTCATGCAATGCTGATGTTGTTAATATTAGCAATTTGAGAACAAAGTATAACAATAATAATAATTTGCACGGTTTTTATGTGATATGAGCTAACCGAGCGTTAGATTTAATCACCATTGGTAGTGCGATTTTATTGCAATGCTTTTTTCCTCAGTTGGTCAGAACAAAAGTTTTAGACTTGTTTCTTATTTGTTCAGATGACAATATCCGGTGAAAATTCTTATTTGGGTCATTTGGGTCAAGATGTAGAATCTGTTATTCTGAAGTACAGTGAATATCCACACCGTGATCATAATACATGTACATGTGAATTTTTTTCCCCGTTTTGTATTTTTGATTAAATTGCAAAGATTTTAAACAAACCTTTTTCACATTGTCATTATGGGGTATTTGTAGAATTTTGAGGAAAATAATTAATTTAATCCATTTTGGAATAAGGCTGTAACATAACAATGTGGAAAAAGTGAAGTGCTGTGAATACTCTACGGATGCACTGTATATACACATCTTTGTTTTCCTACAGGCAGAAAAGATAGCGTCACAAATGATTACTGAAGGTCGCATGAATGGATTCATTGACCAGATAGATAGCATTGTCCATTTTGAAAGTAAGTTTGGTTTTGGGCTGAATATGTTGTATAAAAACTGTTTAACCATGAATAAAATTGAATGAAGTCTCTTATTTCTGTCAGCGCGAGAGCCGTTGCCCACCTGGGACAAGCAGATTCAGTCACTGTGCTTCCAGGTGAACAACCTCCTGGAGAAGATCAGTCAGGCAGCACCGGAGTGGACGGCACAAGCCATCGAGGCCCAGATGACCCAATAATCTCTTCTGAGCACTTTGCTTTCTCTTTTCTCATTGGTCAAAGCAGAAAAGTCTCCCATTGAACTTAATTCAACCCAGCACATATATATTAATGTTCTGTTAAACTTGACCTTTTGGCTTGTGAAGTTAATATTTTCATAGTTATGGTCTGTGAGTATCCGATGCTGAATAAACGCTATGAAAATGTCTTTGTGTCTCAAAAATGTTGTCTCTGTTTTGCTTCACGTCTTTACTGCTAGAAACGGTTATTAATCAAAATGCCTCCCTTTTCAAGTTTGATTTTAGTGACAAAAGATATAATTTTATGGTGAAATAACACAATCCTTGTGAATAGAGTAGTGATTCATTTCACTTTAAAGTCACTTCACATAGGCCTCAAGTCTAACGAAAGTTAACAAGTGCGCAAGAATGATCTGAA